TGGTCACCCGTTACCGTAGACTTAATGCAAAGGGTGATGTGATATTGGTATAATGATAGTTTTAGTCCCTAGAACATACACATTATATCAGATTGATCATAATTCGAGACAATTCCAAAAGAAATTATCAATATTGAAAATCCTATCAATTTGATTCTTATTTAAATTTGAAATAATTTATGAATTTAATAATTTAGTGGCATACTTTTAAAAGAAATTATATTTAGAGACTTGTCGTGTGAATTTTTTTAATTGTAATTTCATCTTTGACGAGGATTCTTGCGTTTTGAATCGGGTATTATAAATGTTTATTTATGGACAACACTAGAATCGGGTATTATAAGTGTTTATTATGGACAATTTAATATAGTTTATTCCATTCATAATACAACCTAGTTTATTCCATTCACAATACTAAAATTGTTTATAGAGAAAATAACCTCATTGATCAAAAATGTTTTATAATATACGATTTTAATTAACTTTTTTTGGATTTGCCAAAATGATCAACTAAATCGCAATGCGATCGATAATTTGCAATGCGATATCCGGTATCGCAAATCAGTTTCCAGATTCGCAACGCGAACTTCGACTATCGCAATGCGAACTTAGACTATCGCAATGCGAATATGTAAATCGCAATGCGATAGTCGACTATAGCAATGCGAATATGTAAGTCCAAGTTCGCGTTGCGATTTATTCCAAATTCGTTGCGATAGTCCAAAATCGCAACGAAAATCGCAACGACTTGTGGTATTGCATTTGTTTCTTAAGAATTTTCTCTAAAAAGATAGTATTCGCGCGGACGTGTCGAAGACACGTATGACCACGACCACGACCCGATCCGAGACGGACGGCGGCGGCGGCGCGCGCGAGAGTCCCCCTTGTTCTCTATCACTCAACAAGGAAGTGGGAAAGCCAAACCTTAAATATCATTCCCAACACTTGTTTCCAATACAATGTGATTATTCAGGAAACAATTAACAATCATACACCTTAAAACAACTGAATCAACAACCAATTGCATTAGTATTATACGATTAAATTTGTCATAATTAAAAGTCAATCTACAATCAATCGCGATTATTACAATTTTAAGCAAAACATTCAAAAATAATATCACTATTTAAGGCTCAATCTCACATAGTATTGGGAACAAGTGTTGGTAATGCTCAATACCACATAGTATTGGAAATACTATTGGGAATGGTATTTAAGGCTTGGTTTTCCCACTTCCTTGTTGAGTGATAGAGAACAAGGGGGACTATCGCGCGCCGTCGCCGCCGCCGTCTCGTCTCGGGTCGGGTCGGGTCGGGGTAATACGTGTCTTCGACACGTCCGCGCGAATACTATCTTTTTAGAGAAAATTCTTAAGAAACAAATGCAATACCACCAGTCGTTGCGATTTTGGACTATCGCAACGAATTTGGAATAAATCGCAACGCGAATTTCGACTATCGCCTTGCGAACTTGGACTATCGCAATGCGAATATGTAAATCGCAATGCGATAGTCGACTATCGCAATGCGAATATGTAAATCGTGTTGCGATAGTCCAAGTTCGCATTGCGATTTACATATTCGCATTGCAATAGTCGAAGTTCGCATTGCGATAGTCGAAGTTCTCGTTGCGAATCTGGAAACTGATTTGCGATACCGGAGATCGCGTTGCGAATTATCGATCGCATTGCGATTTAGTTGGTCATTTTGGCAAATCCAAAAAAAGTTGGTTAAAATCGTATATTATAAGGCATTTTTTGTCATTGAGGTTATTTTCTCTTGTTTATATATAGTTTATTCCAGTTTTGAATCGATTATTATAAATGTTTATTTATGGATAATTTGGTATAGTTTATTCCATTCACAAAATCTGAAATTTGAACCGTTAATTTTACTTAAAGAATCTAGTACTTCATTCTATTAAACTACGAATGGCCCTCGATTATAGGGTACTACTTTATTAAGTTATTCGACTATTAAAAGTTACAAAATAGACCTCTGACTATAGAATATTACTTTGTTAGGTCCCAACTAAAAGTTACAAAATGATCAATTGACTATTTATTGTGTTATAAAATCGTCATTTTTCATTAAAAATTGGTAGTTGTTTAAGTTGGACATTAACATTAATAACTGAGATATGATAGTCGTTTGAGATTCTGATATCAAATTTTATCATATCACAATCAATATGTTCACATTCAACTCAAAATACCATCAATTTTTAACTAAAAATGACGAGTTTAGAACCTAATGAATAGTTATGAGAGCTAATTCAATTATTGTAATTAAGTAGTAAAACCTTTCTAAAGTTTCCGGTATAGGAACAGGCCAAATGGATAAGTGTCCCCACATATAATATTGGTTTTGATACATATTTTTTTAAAATACATTTGAGTTCGAATTTATAATTTTTTAATTATTAAATTCGTTTGGTCTGTATAAATTTAAATTTAATCAAACTTTAATATTTACATTAAAACGTTTCAAATTCCAATACTAAAATCAATACAAAATATAAAGTAACTTACCCTCGTTATTAACGAATATCTTTGATTTTATCATTTGTAACCACCGACACCTCATTAATCACTTTTCATTACCAAAATTAAAAGACATTAGAATCTAATTATTAGATTTGACTCCTAATTTCAACCTTTTTCATACAAATTAACCACGTAAGAAAATAAAATATTTTATATAAAAATATATTTATTAAAATTATTCTTTTTGTTATTCTCTCGATTCTTTGGGTTTCAACCAGATTAATTCGAACTGATCAGTATCGTGCATTTGATTTCTGTGTGTGGGTCGGTGAAAATTTTATGCATATATAAAACTTCAAACTCAAGACCTCTTTGATGATATCAAATTGCTTACCACTTGAACTAGTAATCTTAAGTGGAGAAATAAATAATCTTATTATATCATTAAATAAATTTTTTTAAGTTTTTAATTAAATTAATATCCAATTACTTAAATTAAAAATGTAATTTAAATATAAATTACTAATTAACACCATAATTAACAAAAAAAATATTAATGTCAAATTAAAAAGGTGACAATAATTAAAAGTAATTATTGTCATAAATTTGGGATGTCTTGGCATGCACAAGTTTATGCTTCATTATATTAATCTTTTATAATATATTTTTGTGTTGATATTAATATTATTTTATAATAATGTCCACGAGGTATATATATAATATGAAAGCATACTATATTTATTATAATGAGTATGCGAAATTTTTTATTTTTCTTATTCATTTAATATATTGAATTATATTTAATATCTAATCTAAAATAATGAGTACGCATTTGGCCCCTATGAAGCTATATGCCTATATGCGTCTACTCTTAATTATGATTAAATTATAGATATAGTCCTCACATTCTAATTCATTAAATTTTAATCTCTGTACTTTTTTTAATTTTAAAAGTCTAGTGTGACATAATTATAAGGGTGTAAAATGATCTTATTTAATAATATGAACTAAATCTACAGTTTACTTGTAATTAGAAATTAAGAGATAGACATGGCAGTAGGTTTCGACCCGACTCAATATCATCGTTTTTTAATTCGAGTTTATATCAATTTTTAATGATAATATTAAATTCAAATTTAGGGTGAAAATGTATGACCCGACCCAAATAAGAGTCTAATTATCTTTTATATATTTATGAATAGATTTTTTTATCCAAAAATGGGATCGAGCATCAGATCAGGTATAGTCTAAACTTGAGTCAATATCACTGTTTTTTAATTCGAGTTTATATAAAATTCTTTAACGATAATATTAAATTCAGATTTAGGGTGAAAATTTACGACTCAATTTATACATATCTATACATGTAATGCAAGGATTAAATTTTCTCAATGATACCGTCATCAATATTCCCAATTAATTTTTATAACCCAAAATCTTGTTCAATACGATTTTATGTGATATAATTTAATATAATATAAAGACAGCGTATTTTGACTACAAATAAAATAAAATATTCCACTTAGTCTCTCCCTATTGAAACTTCGTAGAAAAAGAAAACCTAAAAAGGATAAAAAGTGTTGAATGAAAGCAGCCTAAGACCCAACCACCTCATGCATAATATCAATTATCTCGAGTAAAATAAAATATTAGATCTTTTAAATAATTTTAATTATCTTGATTTTGATTTTATAAATAAAATAAATTGAATTAGGAGAGTTGTTCACGTAATAAATCTTTATAGTATCGAATAGAGATAACAATTTTCTTTAATTTCGACTTGTTCTTACTCAATTCGACCTATTTGAGGTAAGGGTTTATTTTTAAATCAAAATTAAGATGAGTATGTATTAGTACTTTATTAAAAAAAATTAAAGTCGAGTCGGGATTAAATGGATCAATTTTTTTGTTATAATTTTTTGATTGATTGAAGATTAAATTTAAGATTACGATTAAATTGAACTAAATTATGAAATTGAGACGAGAATAAAAAAAATTAAGTTTTAAGTCAATGTCGGATGGCTAAAAATCGAATGTATTTTACACGTTTATTAATTTTAATGTCAATCTAAATTAATCGATTAATAAATAGAATATTTAAAGTTATAAAAAAAAGTTAAACAACACATTTAGTACTGAAGTTATCAGTTTTAATTCGTTTTAATATTTAAACTTTTACTTTTTTTCAAAAACACCCCTAGTGTTTAGTTTTGTAACATTTTAGTATCCACCGATAAAAACTTAATGCTTTTAGTACGTAAACCATCAGTTTTTATCCATTTTAGTACATAATATTTCTATTTTTCAAAACTTAACATTAAATTTTGAATATGAGTACTAAAATAAAACAAAATTTAAATTTTTTGTATGGTTGTGAAAAAAATAAAAAAAATAGATATTAAAAAAAATAAAAATGATAGTTTAGGTGCTAAATGTATAATTTACTCAAAAATCATGGATGATTACAAAATATATAAAGTCTTGATGCCAATTGAAAGTTGTAAGCTCACCACCACCAGTGAAGAACAAAATAAAATACATAAAAATAGTGTCGGTACGATCTTCTCTTGACCCTTGCTTTTTCCTTTGTTTTTTTGTTAATTTCACCACCTCAGCAACCGCCGTTCCCCGCCGCTACCGACACCCAAGATGAGGAAGGAACCACCGCCCTCATCGCTCTCTTCCACCGCCGCCGCCACCACAACCTTCGGGAAACTATTTGTTTGCGTCGAAACAAAACTATTAGTCGCGACATTGTTATCGTTTACTTTAGTTATGTTCCTCTGGCATCTCCCTCCTTACTACCAGAACTTCGTCTCCACCGCCCGTCCTTGCACCGCTCCTCTCACCACCTCCGTCGTTGTCTCCGCCGTTGCCAACACCACCGCTACGAGTTTGCTGTCCCCTAATGTTTCACTTCCTTACACGGCTAACCCGATAGCTAAAAAGTACAACTCCGTTCCTAAACCCAAACCCAGGGACCCGAACAAGCGGGTCTTCGAAGCTTACGGTAACGTGGCGGCTCTGTTTGTTCAGATGGGCGCTTACAGAGGCGGACCGACGACGTTCGCAGTGGTCGGATTGGCTTCGAAGCCAATTCACGTCTTCGGCAAGCCGTGGTTCAAATGCGAGTGGATCTCGAACAACGGATCTTCCTACCGATCCAAAGCTTACAAAATGCTACCCGACTGGGGATACGGTCGAGTCTACACCGTCGTGGTGGTGAACTGCACCTTCCCGTTCAACCCGAACCAAGACAACGCCGGTGGGAAGCTGATGGTGAATGCTTACTACGGCGAATCCCAGAGAAAGTATGAGAAATTCACGGCTCTAGAAGAATCGCCCGGATCTTACAACGAATCGAAATTCCAACCGCCGTATCAATACGAGTATTTGTACTGTGGTTCCTCTTTATACGGGAATCTCAGCGCCGATCGGATCCGTGAATGGATGGCTTACCATGCCTGGTTCTTCGGACCCAGCTCCCATTTCGTGTTCCACGACGCCGGCGGGGCGTCGCCGGAGGTTATGGCGGTTCTCGAGCCGTGGGTCCGAGCCGGGAGAGCCATGGTTCAGGATATAAGGGGCCAATCCAAGTACGATGGGTACTATTACAACCAGTTCTTGGTGGTGAACGATTGTTTGCACAGATATCGACACGCAGCTAACTGGACTTTCTTCTTCGACGTCGATGAATATATCTATTTGCCCGACGGGGACTCTTTAGAATCGGTGTTGAATGAGTTCTCGGGATACACCCAGTTCACGATTCAGCAGAATCCCATGTCCAGTATGCTCTGTTTGAATGATTCTTCCCAAGAATATTCCAGGTAATTTTCTCATCGTTTTTTGCTATTAATTTCTGGATTTGGATTATCCTTGATTAGATCCATAAAGGGATATTCGCATTTTGATTCACTGGAGAATAAATTGAAATGATCTGTACATTTGATTGGGATTGAATTGCATACTCCGTTCTTAGTTGCAGAGATTATAAAAAATTGGGTTAATCTCACTTAAAATCCCCCAATTTATCCTCGGATACCAAATTAGTCCTGAGCTTCAAATCATACTAGTATGATATTGATTCATATGATTCGTATGATTTGCCAGGCAATGGGGATTTGAGAAGCTACTCTTCAGAGATTCGAGAACCAAGATTCGGCGTGATCGGAAATACTCGATCCAGGCGAAAAACGCATACTCGGCCGGTGTACACATGTCGGAGAACGTGATCGGGAAGACATTACACAATACGAAGGCGAAGATCAGTTATTACCACTACCACAACACAATCACACTCCACGAAGAGCTGTGCCGGGAGTACCTACCGGCCGCCGCGAAGAACAATGTCAATTGGTTCAACAAGCTGCCTTACGTCTACGATGACAACATGAAGAAACTAGCCAACACCGTCAAAGAATTCGAGCTAAAGACCATCGGGAAGAAACCCGAAGCCTTAACCCACAACGACCGAATCGGTACGATCCAGATCGATTCGGCCCAAAACTAATCCGATCCGGCCGAGCGTTTTCGGGGATCAACTCACGTGCTTATTTGTCATCACTATTGAATTGAGAGTTGCTTGAGCTTTACTCCTCCATTGCAGCCATGGATTTTTGGAGTTTCGACCCCACAAGTACTAAAAACAAATGGGGAAAAAGCTGGAAAGAAAGGGACCCCGATGTATTGGCTGTGAAGGTGAGTGTTTTACTTGTATCATATTTGCGCATAGGGTCCTCTTCTTTTATAATAATTAATTTTTAATCCTTCTATCTATGGTGGGAATACTTGTAACCTTTAGTTTCTTTACATTTTTTAATTTCTTCCTTTTTATGTTTTTGCTTTATGGATTCATATCAGTGATATAAATTTATAGTTTCTGATTCTTTTAATAATAAATATAAATTATTTATATGATTAATTGTGCTCTATCAATTATGTTTAAGAGTTTTAGTAGATAATAGTTGAATCATTTTTGTTAAAAATTGGGTTATAGGTAAATTAATCAGATCATCAATTTTCGATTTCTTCAATTCAAACATTTGATTCAATAATAGTTGAATATAGAGGAATTCCATAGTAATTTAACATGATCTAGATTTAGAGAAGTTATACATAATTTCACTCTAAATTAAAATAAAAACTAAATTAAACTTAAAATTTTAATAAAAATTAATCTTATTAAATCAAATTGAAACTTATTATTAATTAGATTATTTCAAATAGTATGTAATTTGATATTATTTTATCAGACTTTGAGTCTAACGTATTGTATATACAAAAAAATTTCGTTGAAAAATTTACCCATTAAAAATAAATATATGGCACGAATTAATAGTCATTTGACTATAGGATATTATTGTATTAAGTTTTTTGATTATTAAAAAGTTATAAAATGATCATTTAATTATATAATGTTGTTTTGTTAAAATCACTTTACTATTAAAAGTTATAAAATGATCATCTGAATATTCATTATGTTTTAAACTCATCATTTTTCGTTAAAAAATTAATTGTTGTCTAAGTTGAGTGTTAATATGATGATTAGTATATAATAATCGTTTAAGATTATGAAATCATTTTTTATCATATCACATAAGTAAATTAAATAAAATAATATCTTATAATAAAAAATTATTTATATACTTTACCTAAAAATTAATACTTATATACACGAGTGAATAATCATAAATCACACGATCTCAATAGTTAAAAAATTTATTGTTATATTTTGTGGTATTAAATTCGAGAAATGTCTAAATAAATACGGACTAATTATTTACCTTGAAATTAAAGAAACAATAATACAAGTCTAATGTACGTGCTTGGATGAGCTGTACAATTTACTCCCGAAAGTTTCTACATAGCTCCCACGTGGCTTCGTCCCACTCGGTTTAGTGTAGACCACGACTGGGTCTGTAACCTATCGACACGACAGGTTGACGGCGTCGCCGTCGTCGTGGAACGCAAATTTGTCGTCAGCCACGTGGCTGTTTTTATGACGGGGAGCATGGGTCGTACGTGGCAGTGGTATGATTTGCGGGCTGGCGGACACGTGTAGGGATTCCAATGAAGCTGTCACATGCAAATATTTATTAAATATTATCTTGTTATATTCTCTAGGTTCACTTAAAGTTATGTTCTTGTTTGATTAAATCTGAAGGTAGATTGTAATAAATAGTCACTAATCAATCCTTTTTGTCGTTAATTTATGTTTATTTAGTTTAATGATAACTGCTTTTAATAAAATAATAATAAAGTAAAAGCAATTCATCTCGATCTAAGCAATGATGTGTGAGATCTTAGAGGCTTAAAATGTTTGTAAAAGTGAAAGCATGTTTATCACATAATATTATTCTTCAACACTCGGCGACTAGCTACAAAAATTATTAACGATCAACACCGATAAATTAATATATAAAATATTAAAATTATAAATTATTCAACGTATAATTATAATTTAGTTAAAAATTTAAAGGTAAATTATATCATCAATCACTCAACTATTTAGTTATTTTTACTTTTATACTTCATCTTTTAATTTTGTCAATCAGACTACTTAACTATTTTATTATATTCAATTAAGTAACATGTCGTTAATATTAAAAAAATATTGACGTGACAATTTATAAAATTATTATAATTATATATTTAATCATCAATACTTATATATTCTATTATTTTTGTCTTAATTTTAATTTAATTCAATAAATTTAATCTTCTAATCAAATTATGACATTGCCAACATCTGGTTGGATGGAAAAACAAGTAGAAAAGCACAAGTAATGTTGACACGACCTAAAACGAGTTTTTAATTCATTTTAAAATAGGTTTTTAAAGAGATATTTTGTGAAAAAAATTCAAGAAGTTCAGCTCATCTTCTCCATTCTCCCGTGACTCCATATCCAAAGGTGAGTAAGTTTTTATTTTTCATTTTTAATCCAATTTAGTGAGTTTTGGGAATAAATCGTTAAATAAGAAATTCACCTACACTATTTTCTCTACAAGATGGTGTAATTAATTCTTGGTTTCATGCTTGAATGGTGGTAGTGGGTGATTTATGTGGATGAAGGGGAGACTTGAATTCAAAGAAATTTATTGAATTAAAGTTAGAAATGAGTGTTAGGAGTGTTGTAGGACAATATATCAATATGAATTTGGGTTGAAAGTTTTTAGAAATAATAGTGAAGTGTTCGGCCATAAGCTTGGGGAGTGAGAAATTGGTTGAATTTGGTTTTGGAATTTATGGAAATTAATTGGAAATGGTATGTTGATGACTATATTGTGATTGGATTAAATAGAAGACCATTAGGTTAGGAATTTCAAAGTATTTGGCCATGGTTGAGTTTTAAAGTTTAGATTGCTAATTGCAAAGTTGGAATATATATATATATATATATATATATATATATATATATTGCACGATTGACATGTTAGTTTTTTTCAATTCAAAATTTGGAGTTGTTGGGCGTGAATTGGTACTGGACGCCTGTCTAGTGGAGCACCAATTTCTGTGTAAGGTTGGTGATGATTGAAATGGATTAAAGTAATGTTAAGGGACTAGTTTGAGCAATTTAGAAAATGATGGGTTTGATATTAAAGAAAAAGTAGAATGGTGGTTAAAGGTGAAGTTTTGAAATGTTAGGTGAATTCTTGTGATAATTGATAATTAAGGGATTTGAAAGGTTATATTTTTAGAGTTAAAGTTAGTTTCAATTGATGAAGAAAAATTAGTATCAAAATTGCGATGATGACAATTGTTTTAGAATTTTATTCGAACTCGAGTTTATTATTAGCAGTTAAAAATATTAATTCGTGTTCGAAATTTTTATGTTGGGATAATTGATATTCATGTAGATTGCAATCGTTCACAAGTTCAAAGCGAGATAAATGGAAATGATAAAGTTTGAGAGTAAATCGATAGTATCAATAAAGCGTAGTGAGTGCAACTTATTTATACACGAATGGAGGACGGCTTACGATGAGTCAACCTCGAATGTTTTTGAATAAAATGATTTGAATTATGTTATGAAATATATATTTTTATATTGATTTATTAAAAGATTTTTTTATATATGATTTTGGGCACGAATTACCCAAACTATGTTATACGATATTTTATGTTTATAGCATGTGAATATTTTGGGTATAACTGTTCAATATTAGTTTTTATGAATTTTTATTTATATTCGATTATATGAATGTTTACATGGAGGACAATATATGGTTTTGAATTATGCCCATTGTATGAGATTGAGAGTTAGTGGTACAAATGACATGTCATGAGGTGGAGTGATTATTGATTATTGTTCACTAATTACTGATACTGACACTATATGTGCACCGTGGGTTCACGATGTTGTGACATTGTGAAATCCTTATCGGATAACTAGTACAGTGATAATGTGTTTTACAATACATATACATTATTGTTACTGACACTGTAAGTGTAAACTGTTACTTATAATAAAACTGTAAATAACGCACACACTAGTTTTATGACTTGCGTACCTTATATTATCATGATGATACAGCGGGAAATAATATGAATTGAAATAGAGTAGTACATAATTGATTTTACACAGTACCGTTGACTGTTTAAGTAAAATTTTTATTACGGACTTTGAACTGACAGTTAAATTTATAATTGCCAGTATATACAAATAATTTTATTTCTCGCAATTGAATTTATACATGTTTAATTTTAATAATTTTTTATATGACATCACATGTTCTATATGTTAAAAGTTTTATTTATTTATTATGTTGCCTCACTAGGTAGAAAACTTAGCGTGCGATTGTTTCACACGTAGGTAAAGGGAAGTCAATAGAGGAGTAAGGATCCAGATCAAATATCCCATATTTTGAAATACAGTTCAGACAACAAGAATCAATATGACATCTTTATGATATTTTGATATTTCTTAGTTGACATGTACATATTTATATTTTGATGCTCTGATTCAATATGTCTGAACAAATTTTGATTTGAACTCTATATACACTAGTTTATTAAAAGAACGTTATTAGATATAAATTGTATTTTATTAAATCATATTTTATTTTAGTTTTAAATGAATATTCAAATGACTAGTTATTGTTATTATTTTAATTATATTGGTTTATTTTTTAAGAAACAAAATTTTACCCATTTTTAAACAATATTTTCTTTGTATGACTTATATGATTGTAGAAATAGAGTTTTTCGGTTCTGGTAAACAGGGTTTTTCGATTATGAATTTTTTTTTATTCAAAGAACAATTGCATATTACACAAGATAATACATGGGATTTTTTTATTAACATGAATTAGAGACCTAGATAAGATATGAGTCATATTTTCTACAAATTAAGAGATAGTTTTAAAGATGAGTTAAGATTTAGAGTTTAACTTAAACACTACTTACACTCCCCCTCAAGCTGGGGAGTAAATATTATGAAGACCTAGCTTGGATGTAATTTCTTCAAAGGTAAAAGAATAACTACCTTCACTAACAGTGCATGCAGACTTGGACTCAGTAACAGGAGGACTTTGTAAATGACCAAACATATGTTGTATATCGTCCAACTATTGACAAGAAAAGGAACCACCCTCCAATGTTACAGTAGAGTTACCGTGAGATGGACGCGAAGAGGATTTGGATGGAGTCCAGTTGACTGGACGGATATGGAGCTTCCAGCATTTATCACGAACATGACCAGGTTTCTGATAGTTATCAAACCAGTGACGACCTTTCTTGACATAGATGTCGCCGAATGAATAGGTATTTAAGGCAGAACTTTCAACGGGTGGAGGAAACATTAGAGATCGATAACTTTCTTCGCAAAAAACTTCAGATAACACCTCGCGAAGAGATAGAAGAGGCATGATGCCCAGAATCCGACCACGAATATCATCAAGAGAGATGAACAGTCC